AGTTGAAGCCCCCTCATGAGCGCGATCCTTGTTGTGATGGGTTCGCCAGATTAGCGTGGGCGGCGATGCGAAGGTTCCCCGGCGGGGCGGTAGTTGTAGCTCCCTGAGGAGCAAGGTCCTCGCGAGGGGCGCAGTGGCGGTACAGTACGGGCCCGGCCGCAAGAAACCCTCGCAAGAAACCCAACCCTGAGAACCCGCGCGCGAAATGCACCTGAGAGGAAAACCGGAGCACCCTGAACGCAGCCGCTCCTTGCCCGGCTGCGGGAAGCCACCGCGCGGCGCGCGGAGCGAAGAAGCCCAGGATACCCTGACGAAAAGCAAATGGTTTCTTGATGCGCACCCCCACTGTATACGATGTGTCTCAATCGGGGGTGCTCCGAGAAGTTCCGATCCCTGCGAGGAGTGTGCCGAGTTGGGCCAGATGACAGTGCTCAGGTCCCCGATCGTGGCCGTAGTTGGAGCACCTTGTCGGAAGCCATCTTCGCGCGGGGCGTGCCAGTTCTGGCGAGGTGATGCGATGCACATTCGCCCACTGGCGCAACGGTCGCATCATAGCAGCACAGCGCATCGCACACACTCATAACCAGATGAGGCATAGCTATTTGAGATACTGCCTCCGATGCTCAGACCGATAGCTGGCAGCGCCGCTTGCCTTCTTCCTTTTTGTCCGATATCGTCGATGTGATCATGATTTTCCGGATCGTTCCCTCATGCTTCCTCTTCGTCTTCTATTCTCGCCCTACCATACGAATTCTTCCCAATCCTGCTGAGCTCTTTCTGCGGAGGCTCATCCTTGGGGAACCTTTTGGAGGCCTCACGAAAATGTTTCAGGGCCTCTTGGGGCCTTCTGGAGGTCTCATGGGGACCTTCTGGTGGCCTCTAGGGGCTTCATCAAGCCACCCTGCTTCCACCCGCGGTCTCCCTGAACGACCGGGTCACGATTTGGAGCGCTCTGGGGGCATCTTCGGACCATCTTGGGCCGTCATGGAGCACTCTTCGGGCAGTTGGGCCTCTCGTTTTGGGGCTCTGTTGGACTGCCTGGAAGCCCTTCTGGTGAATTTTTGGGCGATGTTCGGGCCTCCTGGATGATTCGGACGCCCGGAAGACTGAAGAACAGAGCATTTCCCAAATCATACGAAAACCTATGGGAGATCCATGTTGATTCCGCTTCAAGTGCCTCTTGGGTGTCTTCTTTGGGTCGTCTTCGGGCGTCTGGTGGGTGTCTGTGGCCTCTTGAGGCCCTCAGGACGCCGTTCGGCCGCCCTCGTGACCGAATGGGGCCCGTTGCCTAGGCCCCGCAGGGGCTTCCAGGAACTCCCGATAAACTGGGGGGCCCTTCTGCAGGGGCGTCCAGGGGACCACTGGGGCCACGAATCTGGGGGTCCCAGATTGGAGGGGGGGATTTCCCGCCCCCCAGGATTTGCAAAAATAGAAACAGGAAAATATGTCAGCCAGCGTGGGCGCCAAACAGTGTTTCTCTAGCAACAGTTATTGTGAAATCTATGTGGTGCCAAATACGTTGTGCAATGTATGCGGCTCAATCTATGTAGCGCAGTCTACGTGGTGCTCAATATGTGTGCTGCCATCTATCAGGCGCAAAGCAATCGAGGTAGTGCAATGCATGCGGTGCAATCTGTGCCATGCTATACACGTTGTGCAACAGATGTAGTGTACTTTATGTTGTGCGCAACTTTTGCGGTGCAGTCGACGTGGTGCTATATGTGTGGTGCAATTTGTGTTGTGCAGTCTGCGTGGTCAAATCTATGCAGTAAGATCTATATGTTGCAATTCACTTGCCGAACTTGAAATTGTCAACTCAACTGCTCGCGCAATCATCCCACCCACCCACCCGCAACTTGGTTTGCAAAACCCATGCGGGACCGAGCACAGATATCGCTCCGGGGTCGTCTTGGAGCCCTCTGGGGCGTCTCAAGAGCGCCCCAAGAAGGCCGGAGAAGCAAGACGGCCGACGACGACGACGACGACGACGGCGGCGACGACGACGACGCCGACGTCGACGACGACGAAGACGACGACGCCGACGCCGAAGACGACGACGAAGACGACGACGACGTCGCCAACGAAGACGACGACGTGGGAGGAGGGAGGACGACGACGGCGACGACGACGACAACGACGACAACGACGACAACGAGGGAGGAAAAAGGACGGCCGCGACGCGAACGACGAAGAAGGAAGGTTGGCGACGCCGACGACGACAACGACGAGGGAGGAGGGAACACGACGACGAGACGACGACGACGACGACGACGACGACGACGGCGACGAAATAGGAGGGACGACGACGAGACGCCGACGACGGACGACGACGACGACGAGGGAGGAGGAGGAAGGACGACCACGGCGACAACGACGACGGAAACGACCACGACGCCAAAGAGGACGACGACGACGAACACGAGGAAAGACACAGGACGACGTAGGCGACGACGACGACGACGACGCGGGAGGAGGGAGGACGGCGACGACGACGACGACGACGCCGCAAGAGCGCGCGCGCACGCTTTTGTTGAAAATCCGTGTTGCGAAACCTTATGTTTTTGTAGGTTTTTTGGACGCGCGATTTTGAAACCCTTCCGAAACCGATGGGTTTTGAAGGATTTCGGCGTACGCGCGCGACGACGCGCGCGTCTGCACTTCGACCCAGCTTTTGCAAAGGATTCTCGCGACGGCACACGCGCAAGGGCGTTCGACAGCTTTCGACACGCGCGCGCGCGACGCCCGTTTGGTAGCATGTTGCGAGAATCTGAAAAAACAATGGTTTCTCAAGATTTCGAAAGAGCTCGCGCGTAAGCTTTTTTAGCAAATCAGTGTTACGAAACCCTGTGTTTTTGTATGTGTTTTAAAAAATCGATTGCGAAATCCTTCCGGCACAGAAAGTTTTTGAAGGATTTCGGCATGCGCGCGCGACGACGCGCGCGTGCGCGCTTCGTCCCATTTTTTGCAGGGGACTCGCGAAAAAGTGCTATGTTAGAACAAAAAATGTCACCGCATAGTGTTTTTTTGCAAGGGAACCTCAGGGGGGGGATACCGGATGGCTTGGGACATTGCGATTTCAAATTCAGAATGGACATGTGGTCATACTCATTTGTGATTTGCATACCCGAAAGGGGGGGCGATAACGCCGGGGGGGGTAGAGTCTATTCTCTTTTAGAAAGGAGAATCTATGATGTGGTACTGAATCCTACAAGCGAATTGACACCTCCTATGCTCTTGCAAACATCCCACCCACACCCACCCGCAACTTGGTTTGAAAAACCCATGCGGCGGCGATTGCGATGAAAACGTGGGTTTGGGTGATGCATCTCTGCAGCCGCGCCGGCCCAAGCCCGCGCGCGCAGCGGCCAGCTAGTTTGGCGCTGCCGACGCGGCCGCGGTGGCGCTGACCGCTGGGCACATCCCAGCGGGCACTTCAGTGCGAAGCGGCGACTTGGGCGGGCGCCGTATCACGCCAACGTCGAAAACGGTAGACACGATGGTGACAGCAACGATGCTGGTGACGATGTTGACAACGACGACGGCGCGGCCAGTGACGGTGCCGATGCGGATCTCGCCGACGTCCTCGCGTCGGTGATGAAAAATTTGAAAAAAGTTCGGCATGCGCGCGCGGCCGACGCGCGAAAGTGGGCCGCACGGTATTACTTGACACGGATCGTGTCCCCCCCTAAGCGCGCGCGCAAGCAAGGGCGTGCGAATGATTTCGGCATGCGGCGCGAGAGGCCCGTTTGGCAGAATTCAAAGAACATGTTGAAACACTTCCCTTCTCTTACTCAGACTTCGCAAGAGCGCGAGCGCAGGCTTTTTAGAAAACTGCGGTGGCGAATCCATGTGTTTTGTATGCGTTTTGGACATTCGGTTTGAATTCGCTATGAAATCGTGTTTGTTGTCGGATTTCGGCATGCGGTCGCGAAGACGTGCGCGCGTGCATTTCGACAACATTTGTACAACTTATTCTCGGCGGTGGACAAACCTCCCTCTAGTAAACCTCCCCTCAATGAAAACGGCCTGGGGCCAAAACCGGCGGACCTGGACCCGCAAAAATGACGGCCGCGACGCCCTCCCGCGAACCGAAAACGGCCGATTCACTAATCGACGTGTCAGGGTAGGAGGTCTGTCCACCCCCGATATTCTGGCGACAGCACGCGCGCAGGGGCGTTCGAACGATTTCGACAATCTCGCGAACGAAGCCCTTTTCGTAACATGCTGTGTAAATGTTGAAAAAATGGTTGAGCATCCGTGTTGCGAAGCCATGTTTTTCTATGCGTTTGATCACGAAACCAAAAAGGTGTTTAGAGGATTTCGGCATGCGCGCGCGACGACGCGCGCGTGCGCATGCGTCCCCTGTTTTGCAACAGCGATTATTGAAAACTGATGGTTATTAATGAACCAGTTACGCGCGCATAATAATTTTTCCAGAGCATGGCTAGGGGGGCGATACTGGCTCGGCTGAGATGGCACGAATTCATACTTACGATGGACGATGGGGCAGTCATTTAGAAACATTGGAAACTGCAATGCGACAAAGGGAGCGGATAATCCCGGGGGGGTAAAATGTATTCTCTTCCTAAGGAAGGAAAATCCAAGCGGCGACGGGGCGGCGACATCGCGGCCAGAGCGCCAGACAGGCCCAGACGATCAAGGCGGCGACGGGGCGGCGACGAGGCGGCATCGCGGCATCGACGCGGCGACGGGGCGGCGACGGCGGTTACACAGCCGCCTGAGCGACACACTGGCCCAGACGATGGACGGCGACGATGCGGCGACGGGGCGGCGACGGCGGCTACAGAGCCGCCTGACCAGCACACCAGCCCAGACGACGGGTGGCGACGAGGCGGCGACGAGGCGGCGACGGCGGCTACATAGCCGCCTGAGCGGCACACCAGCCCAGTTCATTAGTAAACAAGTCAGAAATCCGAAGTGCAAATTGTGAGGGGAATGTAAGCATATATGCATCGACTGGCGCGCACGGTGCGCGCGTCCTTCAGCGCCTCGTCCCCCGCAGCGGCATTGCCCTTAACAGTGAGGCTCTTCAGCCACAGGAGGCCCCTCAAGGCCTTGCGCCGAGAGTGCGGACGACCAGGGGTGATGGGCCTGTTTTCCACCACCACCACCACTATAAGTTGGAGGACGACGGTGTCCTCCTCCTCCTCCTCCACCTCCTCCTCCTCCTCCTCCTTCTTCTCTTCGTCCTCCTCCTCTTTCCCCCCCCTCCAGCTGATGAGGGTGGTGGTGGTTGAAAACAGACCCATCAAGGGGGGGGCACGAGTGGCGCGGGAGGGAGGATGGCAGGAAGCGGGAGGAGCAAGACGATGGCAAGAGGAAGACGCCGCCGCATGTCGAGACAGGCCTTGCGAACCTCCGAGGAGAGCCCGCGGGGCCGGAGGGAGGCGCCGCCCGAGCGCTGCGGGGCCGTCCTGGAATGCCCTTTGGGCTTCTCGTCCTGCAAGGCTTGCCTCTCACGTCCATTCCCCGTGCTTGTTTCGGTTTTGTGCGTGTTTTTCCCGCCAAATGATCCAGGACGCTCCTCGATGGTCCTCGCCGAAGGAAAAAAATGCGCACGCCCGAGCGATGCCAAGGCCTGGAATGCCCTCTGGGCTTCTCGCCCTCGGCCTGCCTGGGCATGCTGCGGGGGCCCCGGGCGCCGGTCCGGGCGGGCGGCCGGAGAGCCGCTCCGCGGGCGCCCCGCGCCCAACGCGGGGACGCCGGGCGGCCGCGAGCGGGGCGCAGAGGGGAGGCGCGCCGCGGCGGCAAGAGGCGGCCAGGGGGCAGCTGGCGATGCTCTCGGCTGGCGATGCTCTCGGCTGCGGCCTTCTCCTGCCTCTTCCTCCTCCTCCTCCTGCTGCTGCTCCTCCTCCTCTTCCGTCCCTGGTCCTCCTGCGTGGAATCCCCGCGATTGCGCCGGTGCAATCCGGCCGGGGTCCCCAGCGCAGCTGCGGGGTTGTCGATGGCCCCGTGTAAAAGAAGGGGGGGGGCGGGGAGGGAAGGTGGGAAGGAAGCCGGAGGAGGCAGGAGGAAGGAGGGGAGGGGGGCGGAAGAGCTGAGGGGGAGACATCTAGAGAGAGAGAGAGAGAGAGAGAGACTGCGAGGCGGGCGGCGAGAGAAGATGCTCCAGGAGTTTCAGGAAGGGGCGAACAACGCCAAAATCATCTGTGCTCATCTTCTAGTCCTCTCAGCTTCCTCATCCTCCTCTCCTCCCTCCCTCCTCTGCTTTCCCTCATCTCCTCGCTTGGCTTGCCAAGCATTGCACGGAGCCTGGCTGTCCGTCAGTCCGTCCGTCCGTCTGTCTTCCCAGCTCTGAGCCGCGGCGCCTGGAACTTCCTAGCTCTGGGGTGCGTCGGCCACCTCCGCCCTCTCCCTCGTCGGTGGCCCTGACGAGGTTGGCGGAGAGGCTGGCAAAACGCGCCCCTAATCTCAGCAAGGCGTTATCGTGCAAACCTACATTTGTTGGCTGCTGGTCCAGGGGGGGACTTGTGCTCGGGGGGGCCGCCGATCAACGCACCAAACCTCGCAACGTGGGCACTCGCCGAAATCCGTGCTTCGGTGCTGATCGCTGGCGCGCCTCATCTCCGTCGTCGTCGTCGTCGTCGTCGTCGTCGTCGGCGTCGCCGTGGTCGTGGTACGTGTTGCTCTGCTCGGGGGGACTGGTTTCTTTCATGTAATGGCCACCCAAAACCCTTCCTTTTCCCTCCGGTTTCTCCCTCCAACCCTCTTCCCTGTAAATGATTTCCCACCAATCGAACTACCAAACGTGTCCGCACGATGGGCCAGGCGACTCGCTTGAGACTTCCTTGCTCTGAATGATCCCGAAGCGAAGAACAACGGTTGCAAGGATGGGGGCCGGCAGTTCCAACACAACGTTCATTTGTCAGGTTCTTGACAAAATCGGAACAGGGAACCGCAACAGCGCCGGCGCGCACTCGTCTTAAGCAACTCCATCAATTTCACGGACGGAAAGAAAAAAGGAATGCTGCTCGCCTTGGCGCCGCGCACAATCGTTTTCAACACCTCAAACATCGATCAGGATGGACGCCTACTCGGTTCTTCAATCTACAATTATGCAGCTCTCCTGTGATCCGACCCGGAGCCGCAACGGGTCAACAACCTGCAAGAAAGGGGCGCGCCTCTTTTCCAATATGCCTCGCCCGAAACTTCCGGCAACGCTTCCGCGAACGGTGGCCAGGTACCTTTTTAAGAAGTACGGGGCCGTCGCTGGACACGTTGTCGAACTTGCAGCCCTGCCTCTATGCATAGTTACCTAACAGCTTGTTCTGATAAGTTTCTAGTGGTGTCAAAGGGGAGCAGCAGATGACTCCACAGGGGGGTCTGGGCGGGTGCCGGACAGGGTGCCGCAAAAGTCGTTTTAAGCCAACAGTCGCACACTTCGTGCTCTTCGACTTCCCAGAACTCCACTCCCGGGCCACATTCTGAATGCCCGGAGCCAACTGTAAGCCACTTCGTGCTCTTCGACTTCCCAAAACTCCATTCCCGGGCCACATTTTGAATGCCCGGAGCCAACTGTAGGCCACTTCGTGGTCTTCGAGTCCCCAAAACTCCATTCCCGGGCCACATTTTGAATGCCCGGAGCCAACTGTAGGCCACTTCGTGCATTTCGAGTTCCCAGAACTCCATTCCCGGGCCACATTTTGAATGCCCGGAGCCAACTGTAGGCCACTTCGTGCTCTTCGAATTCCCAAAACTTAATTCCCGGGCCACATTTTGAATGCCCGCAGCCACCTGTAGGCAACTCCGTGCTCTTCGACTTCCCAGAACTCCCATTCCTGGGCCACATTCCTGGGCCACATTTTCAAGGCAAGAGCACGACGAGGAGGAGGACGAGCAAGACCAGGAGGACGAGGACGAGCAGGAGCAGGACGAGGAGCAGGAGGAGCAGGAGAAGAAGGACGAGCAGGAGGAGGGAGAGGACGAGCAGGAGGAGGAGGACGACAAGGAGGAGGAGGAGGACGACCAGGAAGAGGAGGAGGAGGAGGAGGAGGAGGGGAGGGGGAGGACTACCAGGAGGGAGGAGGAGAGAGGAGGAGGAGGAGGTTGAGGAGGAGGAGGAGGAGGAGGAGGAGGAGGAGGAGGACGAGGAGGAGGAGGAGGGAGGGGGGGGGAGAGCACCAGGGGGAGAGAACGAGGACCACCAGGAGGAGGAGGAGGAGGGAGGAGGAGGAGGGAGGAGGAGAGAGGAGGAGGAGGAGGAGGAGGAGGAGGAGAGGAGGAGGAGGACGAGGAGAGGAGGAGGGAGGAGGAGGAGGAGGAGGGGAGGACTACCAGGAGGAGGAGGAGGAGGAGGAGGAGGAGGAAGAGGAGGAGGAGGACGAGGAGGAGGAGGAGGAGGAGGACGAGGAGGAGGAGGGGGGGGGAGAGCACCAGGAGGAGGAGAACGAGGACCACCAGGAGGAGGAGGAGGAGGAGGAGGAGGAGGAGGAGGAGAGAGCACCAGGAGGAGGAGGACGAGCAAGACGAGGAGGACGATAACGAGGACGAGCAGGAGGAAGAGGAGGAGGAGGAGGAGGAGGAGGAGGAGGAGCAGGAGAAAGAGGAGGAGGAGGAGGAGGAGCAGGAGAAAGAGGACGAGCAGGAGGAGCACGAGGACGAGCAGGAGGAGGAGGAGGACGAGCAGGAGGGGAGGGCGGCCGGCTGCCCCGGCCGGCTGCCCCGGCCGGCTGCCCCGACCGGCCGCGCTTGCGCCCGGCCGCGGAGCGCGGTCAAGGGAAGGGGGCGGGGGCGGGCGGTCAAGGTTGATACCCCCTCCTCGCTCGTTCCACTGCCTGCTCGCAGCAGTGGCGCCAGCACATGCACAAGAGATTCCTGCATGAACTGTTGCACTTGCATATCTGATGGCCTTCGGCCAAGGTCGTGCGCGCCAGGGCTCTGAGGAAGGCTCCCTGCGCCCTTCTGGGGAGCCCCTCTGGGGAGCCCCTAGGACGAATTATTCGGGCCTTCTGCTCGCCATGTCGGGCCTTCCTGGGGGACAGACACACCGGGCGAATTATTCGGGTCTTCTGCTCGCCATGTCGGGCCTTCCTCGGGGACAGACACACAAACATGGGCTTCTCATATGTGCGCGCCGACTTAGGGCGACGCATGTGCCTGGTCCAGCACGCGCGGCGCCCCCGGGGAGGGGTTGCGGTTTTGCCAGATTGCGAGGGCGCTTCAGAGCGGAACGCCCCTCCACATCCTTCCTGATCCCTCACTCATTTCAACCCGCGCTCCCTCAGGTGCACACTGCCGGCGCCAGCGCGAAGATAACGAGCACCTGGGGGGCGCCCCGTTCCGCGAATCCCACTGCAGAGCGGGGATCTCGACCCCCCAATGGGATTCGTGGAGCGGAGGGGGCCTTGAGAGGCCGAAGCATTTTTTGGGGCGGGGGGGGCTGCCCCGTTCCCTCGGATGGGCACAGCCCCCCCCTCGCCGGCCTTCTCTCCTTGATCCCTCCTCCTAACGTAACGCGCCCGCTTTAAGTTAGTGCATATGATACATCCACATGCTGTTCGACCCAGAGATGTTCCTACACATGGCTGTTAGGTTGCTTTGCCGGGAGAATTGAGTTTTTTTTTAAAAGGATGGTGGACCTTTCGCCAAAAGAGGTCTGATCTGAGTGGCAGGCCCACCAATTGCCGCGGAGAGGAATACGAGTGCAAGGAAATGCGAACCAGGGGTTTGGGGCGGCAGGGTGTATTGCAGCCTCGTGGATGCATCCGGGTTTAACAACCGTTCTCCCTCCGTCTCCTCCTGTGCGAAGTTATGTTCCCTGTCCCGTTCTTCTGCTCTACCTGCCGCTGCTGCTCCGCCACCTGCTTCTTCCTTGTTCTTCCACATCCTATTACTCCTGCCGCCTCCGCCCCATTGTCCCACTTGCGAGGCGGGCCGCTGCTGCGACGGAACCGACCGACGGCAAGGCGGGGCGAATGAGCGAACGAGGGGGGAGGGCGGGTCTCGTTCTGCTAATGGGGGGGGGGGAAGGGGCGGGCTGAGGTTAATTAGCTCGGGCGCGTCCCCCTACAGGGGGATTTTGGCCCGCGCATAAAACATAATCAGAAAATTCACC